ATGTAGGAGTCAAGAAGACTTGGGTCCAGGGTTGAAATACTGCCTCTGACATATATTGACAGTGTGACCCTGGACAAGTCACTTAACTTGTTAGTGTCCCAGGTAGCCCTCCAAGATGATAAATTGCAGAACAGGTGCGCCTCTGACCTGGAAGATTAGAGAAAATCTCTACTATGCCAATGAAATAATAGATTTGGTTTCTTACCTCCCTTTCTTCTTTCTTTCATTTTCTTTCCTTCCTTTCTCTTCCTTCCTTCCTTCCTTCCTTCCTCTCTCTCTGTCTCCCCCCCCTTCCATATAAGTATACATGTGTTCTTCCCTGAAAGAATAGAAGTTCCCTGAGGGCAAGGACTGTTCCCCCTTTTGTCTTTGTAGCCCTAGTGCCTGGCACATAGTAGGTGCTTAATAACCTTATCGATTGATTGAACAATTGCAATAACAATAATAATAATAACTAGAATTTATATAGCACTTTATGATTTGCTAAATGCTTTGCAAATATCATCTGATTTCCTTCTCACAACACCCCTGGGAGGTAGGTGCTCTCACTAGCCACATTTTACAGAACATGTGACAATGGTTTCAAATTTGAAGTAAGTGAAGGGCAGAGGGGATGTCAAGCACAATTGAACCTGGGGAGGGGGGTGAATTAACAGAAAATTATTTGGGCATCAAGTTTTTCAAAAGCAGTGTTAGTTTCCATTAGGAAATAGCTCATTCTCTTCCCTGAGATGTCAAGGAATCCCAAATTCTGATGCTTTAGAGGCAGTAAGATATGGAGAAGGAACTTTGGACCTGGAGTTAGGAGACGAGGTCAGAGCCCAACTCTTGACTCTCTGAACTGGGTGACCATGGGCTTCTCTCTATTCCCAGCCCCACAGGCTGTTTAGAAGAAAAACAGGAAGAAAACCCAACAAGGAGGCAAATCAGTTACTGTTCTTCATGCCTCCTTTCCACCCAGATTAGCTGATTGGTCTGCAAAAGGAATTTAGAATGTTACCTTCTTAGGCCATAAATATAACAAACAGCAATTGTTTCCACCAGCACAATGAGCAGTAGGGAAAGGGTGGCAGCGTAGTCGTTGAATATGTCAAACCAGTAGTTTCCTGATTCCAAGGTGAATGTCAGCCCAATGACACAGTTAATGATGCATATAAGACCTGGGGGGACAAGAGCAGCTTCTCAGCTTCTGGGAAGTCTCACTTTGTTGGGCATCTCTCAGGAGCCTAGGAGAGGCAGACCCATTGGATAGAACAGCCGTGGTCCATGCAAGGGCTGGCTGGCATGACAAAGATCTAGGCAACATCTGTAGCTTCATTCCCACTACCTATCTCTGTCTGTCTGTCTATCTATCTATCTATCTATCTATCTATCTATCTATCTATCTATCTATCCATCCATCCATCCATCTATCCATCTATCTATTTATCTATTTATCTATCTATCTCGGCATATTATATCGATATATTTGTAGAGCAGAGAGGTTGAAGCTGATTAGTTCACCTAAGAGTTACTGGTTGGGACAGTCCCATCAGGATTCTTCCCCTCTTGAATAAATATTAGTTTCTTTGGCAAGGGTCTTTTGGTTACTTGGGTTAATTGATAACATTCAACTGCAAGGATTCGGCCCCAACATAAATGAGGTACTGGTTACTCTTTTCTGACAATTCTGGACATCATAGATCTGGCACTGGAAGGGGCTTCTGGGGCCGTTTTCCCAACCCTCTTATTCTAGAGAAGAGGAAACTGAGGGCCAGAGAGAAGTGTTTTGTCAGGTGACACTCCTGACTCCACAGGACTTTCTCTATTATATCTTCAATCCTCTCCAAGCTGCACTGCTGATTCTCTAGCTCTCTTCTCTACCATCCCTTCACACTGAATACCCTCATCTCTTCCCCACCCTAGTTTCCCTTTATGTTGTCTTCCCTCCACTAGAATGTATGTCCCTTTCTTTCTGCTTCTATTTGCATTCCCAGCACTTGGCACAGTGCTTGGCACATAGTAACTGCTTAAGAAATGATTTTTCATCAATCACTTTAAAGGGCTTCCCATCTGGACAATCCTTTATAGTCTAAGATCATTGGTCTGCCTACCCGTAGTACATTGTGTCCAACAAAAGGCTAACCTGAGATTGCCTCCTTGGGCAAGCGGCTTGAAATAGCCTTGCTGTCTGTCAGAGGAGTGAGGATGGCAGCGGTGTTCCCCAACATGCTTCCTATCCCCAGCATCAGCAGCATAAAGAAGTATAGCACCGACCACAGTTGGGACACCTCCATGTTTTTAATGGCTTCAGTGTAGACAATAAATGATAATCCAGTCCCCTGGACAGCCTGCCAATAATAAGAAGATGCCATGTTATATCAAGGGTGCCAACCTTACTTAGAGTTCCAACGGGCAAGAGTGGAGCCCACCTGCAGGGGCTTGAGATTCTCTGGGTTCCTAGGACATTCCTTTATGAGTCCTTTATCTACATGTCTACTTTTCCTTTTATCTCCAAACACATCATTCAATGGCACTGTGCCTAAGTGAGGCTATCATATGAAAAATGAGAATTAATAATGCTTTGCAGAATTTTGAGATGTTAGAAGCTCAAGTTTATCTATCATCTTGAGAACTCTTAGATAGAAGCATGGCATGATCCTAGGTATTTAGGTTTGATTGTTGGGGTCTAATGCTAGCATGTGTTTTTTTTTTTTTTTTCCTTTTTTTATTAATTTATTTTGATTTATCAATAATCACTTCCAAATGCTTTTGAGTTCAAAATTTTTCTCTCCCTTTCTCCCCACCACCCTTCCCAAGACGGCACATAATCTGATATAGGCTATACATTTACATTCATATTAAACATATTTTCACATTAGTGATGTTGTAAGTAGAAATTAAAACCAATAGGAGGAACCATCAGAAAGAGGAAACAAAACTCAACAGAAGAGAAAAAAATTAGCAATTCGGCTTCCATTGTTCTTTCTTTGGGTGTGAATAGCATTTTCCATCACAAGGCCTCTGGAGGTGTCTTAGATCCTTGTATTGCCAGGAAGGGTTAAGTTTATCAATATTAGTCATCACACAACCTGGCTGTTATTGTGTACAACGTTCTCTTGGTTCTGCTCACTTCACTCAGCATCAGACTATACAAGTCTTTCCAGGTTTTTCTGAAGTCAGCTTGTTCATCATGTCTTATAGCACAATAGTATTCCATCACATTCATATACCACAACTTGCTCAGCCATTCCCCAATTGATGGGCATCCTCTCAATTTCCAATTCTTTGCCACCACAAAAAGAGTTATGAATATTTTTGTACATGTAGGTCCTTTTCCCATTTGTGTAATCTCTTTGGGATATAGCCCTAGAAGTGCTATTGCTGGGTCAAAGGGTATGCACATTTTTATAGCCCTTTGGCCATAGTTCCAAATTGCTCTCCAAAATGGTTGGATCATTTCACAACTCCACCAACAATGCATTAGTGTTCCAATTTTCCCACATCTTCTCCAACATTTATCATTTGGCCATTCTGATAGGTGTGATGTGGTACCTCAGAGTTGTTTTGATTTGCATTTCTCTAATCAATAGTGATTTAGAGCATTTTTTCATATAACTATAGATGGCTTTAATTTCTTCAGTTGGGAACTGTCTGTTCATATCATTTGACCATTTATCAATTGGGGAATGGCTTGTATTCTTATAAATTTGACTTAATTCTCTACATATTTTAGAAATGAGGCCCTTATCAGAGAGACTGGTTGTAAAAATTCTTTCCCAATTTTCTACCTTCCTTCTAATCTTAGTTGCATTGGCTTTGTTTGTGCAAAAACTTTTCAATTTAGTGTAATCAAAATTGTCTATTTTGCTTTTTGTAATGTTCTCTATCTCCTGTTTGGTCATGAATTCTTCTGTTCTCCATAGATCTGACAGGTAAACTATTCCTTGCTCTCCCAGTTTGCTTATAGTATCAGCCTTTATATCTAAATCATGAACCCATTTTGACTTTATTTTAGTATATGGTGTGAGATTTTGGTCTATGCCTGGTTTCTGCCATACTCTTTTCCAGTTTTCCCAGCAGTTTTTTTCAAAGAGTGGGTTCTTATCCAGAAGCTGGGGTCTTTGGGTTTATCAAATAATAGATTACTATAGTCATTGACCACTGTGTTAGCATGTGTTCTGTTCTCCCCTGAGAATATTAGCCTATGGTACCTGAATGTAATGGACCATTTCTGCACTGTAAGAAACATAGGAAGAGTTGTACAAATTGATGCAAAGTCAAGGAAGCAGAACCAAGGAAACAATATACTCAATGACTACAACCATGTAAATGGAAAGAGTACCACCAAGGAAAAACATTTCAGTGCTGAGTTATTATATTGGCCAAGGTTGGTTCTCAAAAAACAGATAAGAAAATGAGCCTTCCTCTTTCCCTTGCAGAGGTGGGAGTCTATAGGTATGGAACATTGTATAGACTGTCAGACTTGCTTCATGTGTTGGTTAGTTTTGCTCTCCCTCCTTATTATTTTTTATTCGTTGTTACAGAGGATACCTCTCTGGATAGGAAAGAGATGGGTGAGGGACATATATAGATATTAAACTGATATAAAAATAAAAGATAATTTTTTAAAAGAATGATATTAGTGGGAAATTTCTAGTCTTTCTTGATTCACAAATCAATCTCTTGAGCTCATGATTGATAGAGTTCACCCTTTCTCACAAGGGTCTATGAGGTTTATGGTTTGGCTTATGGCAACAGGCATCATGGAAAAGACAACATAGAAACTGTATCAGCAACACTTACGGTATCTAGTTCTGATTCCAAACTACAGTTTTTAATCTGTGGGAACACTTCACTGTATTCCTTTGGGTAGGTAGATGCTAGGTGAGTTTTCATCTCCTCCAGGTTTCCTGAGGTCAGAAAACCATCTTCAAGGTCGAAGGTATTGGTCAGCAGCAAGATCACCCTGGGGAGTCAAGTTCACTGTGTTAGTTGCCACCTAAAGGAACTTTCTAAAGCCCCCCATGGTGGAAGAGTTTGGTTGCAGTGCCTGGGAAGATGAAAAGGACCTTTTGCTGCCATGTCACTAGCCCTCTCTATCTTTGTAGCGGGGAAGGGGATGTGCGATTTTTATATCTTCCCCCTGCAATTTGATTATTGGCCTATTTAGATAAGAAGAACATTCAAAATGTAGGGACATTTGTATTATGTGACTCAGGAGACGCATTCCCTACCTTCCCTCATATAATGGCATATAGTCAGAGCTGTTACATAGGATTATAGAATCAGAGATTTGGGGTCGAAAGGACCTCAGAAGCCACCTAATCCAACCTCCTCATTTTATACATGAGGACTCTGGTGCCCAGGGAGTTAAATGACTTGTCCAAGGTCACACAGGTAGCAAGTGTGAGAAGTAGGATGTGTTTAGGAATCCCAGCCCCTGGGGTTAATTCACTTAGAATTGAAGGGGGTGTATGGCATGATTGAGATACATTGAAGACAGATTTAGGAAGCAGAGGAGGTCGAAGGACTGGGAGACCGGGTTTTGCTAGGGGATAAAGGTTGGAATAGGAGATAGTGAGTTAGGCAGTGAAGTGACTGCAGAGGACAGAAAGTGACCTAGAGGGTGCAAGATGACAGCAACAAGGATCTAGACAGGTGGAGTAAGCTTTAGAAGAGGTGGATGTTGAGAGGGAGAGCCTGAGAGTGGTCATGGGACACATGGAGCACGCCAGCTGGTCTTGTATGCCAAAGATTGGTAGAGAAGGAATAGCCAATTCTGAAGAGCATTTCAGGAGACACAACTTCTTCAGGAGAAGGCTAGGATTCATTGAACCCTAAAAGATAGAAAGAATGTGAGGGGAATGAAGAGGACTTAGAGATAAAAGGGGACTTTGTGGAGAGAGTGAAAGCACCCTGAGGGCAGGTACTGTTTCATTTCTGTATTTGTATCCTCAGCTAGCATAGTCCTTGACATGTTGATTGGGAAGAAGCCTAGCTTGGTAGATAGAGCACTGGATTTGGTGTCAGGAAGACTGGAGTTCAAATCCCAGCTGAATCACATGTATGTGATGCTGAGCAAATCACTTAACCTCTCTAGTTTTCTCACTTCTAAAATGAAGCAGCTAGACCCCATGACCTCTTAAAGTTTCTTCTAGCTCCAAATCTCATGATGCTAAAATTGATTAACAATGAAGAGGGGTCCAGGGAGCTCAGTGAAAAGGCAAAGGAGAGGGAAAAGGAAGGCTAGAGCTGAGTTTACTGTTGTCATGGAAGTTGGCAACAGCCTCTAGGTGGTACATGAGGACAGTAGTTAGAGGTCTGAGACAGAATAATGTAGTGGAAAGAGTGCTGGATTGAGAGTCAGGGAACCAGGGCTGAAATCCAGAATCCGTAACTTAGTAACCATGTGACCTTGGGCAATTTAAATTCAGACACTTACTAACTCTGGGTAAATCACTTAACCTCTCTGTACCTTAATTTCCTCATCTTTAAAATGGGTAAAGTAAATCCAGTGGCCTCCAAGGTCCTTTCCATCTTTAAATTTATGATCCTATGATCCTAAGTCTCTTAGCCTCTCTGGGCCTCAGTTTACTAATCTGTAAAATAAAGGAATTAGATTAGACAGTGTCTAAGAGTCTCTTCTTCCTCTTAATTTATGACCCTGTGACCTACCCATCATTCTTACTTATTGATGCAGCTCTCGTAGTTGAAAGTGGCCTTGAAGCCATAGATGGAGAACGTGACGATACTGGCAAAGATGGACGTAGAACTGTTAATCAGGGACACAATGATGGCATGCTTCTGGCAATTGTTGGACGGCTTATTGTAGCTGGCAAAAGCAATCAGGCTGCCGAACCCGAGGCCAAGGGAGAAGAAGATCTGTGTGGCCGCACTGATCCAGGTTTTGGGGTTCGCTAACTGCTCTAGCTGAAAAGTCAAAGGTGGAGGAGAAGCTGATCAGAGCATAAGGACATATTGGCTACTCTGGCACCAGGGTTTGTAACATAGGAATAAGCTGACAAGCAGTTGTTAAATGTTTACTATGTGCCAGGCACCGTACTGCTGAGGATACAAAGAAAGGCAAAAAAAAAAAACCAGTCCTTACCCTCAGGAACATCTATACCCCATCATGGATGTTACTCAGACAGTGTGCTATAAATTTGGAAAGGTAGGTAGGGGCCAGGTTTTGGAGACCTTTTAATTCCAGACTGAGGAATTTATATTTTATCCTAGAGGAAACTAGGAACCATGGAAGATTTTTGAGCAGGCAAGTGATGAGGTCAGATCAATGCCTAGGAAGTTTATTTTGGTAGTAGTGTGGAGGATAGATTGGTAAAGAAGACACTGGAAGTAGAGACCAATTATGAAGCTCTTCAAATAGTCCAGGTGAAGTGGGATAAGGATTTGAATTAGGGCAGGAGCAACGTGAAAGGAGGGAAGAGGATGGATGTGAGAGACAAAGTGGAGGTAGACTGGGTGGGCTTTGGTCACTGATTAGACAGGCGCTGGCCTCATACACGTCCAGCTCCTCCTGTAAAGCTGGTACCTGGTCTGCTTCACCATGGAGCTTAGTTAGCAGGTAAGGGAGGGAAAAGAGACATTAGGAGACTAGCCCAGGATGAAACAGCTAGAAAAATGGCAGACCTAGAGCACATATCCAAGGCTTTTGATTCTAAGATCCAGGCTCTTTCCATCACACTCCTCTCTTCCTCTTTCTGACCACAACAAAGATAGAACCCACAGCAAGTAGAACATTTATGTCCTAGGACTGCAGAAGATAGCCCTCACTATCCCCTCACCACTGTCCTTGGCTTTCCAGAGAAGAATGGAGATACGGGAAGCTCCTTCCCTGGGGTTCTATATTCCAAAGGGAGGATGTGCTAAGAACAGGGCAGTCTGAAAATGGAATTGGAATGCCTTGGTAAGTAATTCTCTCTTCCTGGAGGTGTAGCTGCAGCAGCTGGAGGACCACACATCAAGGATGTTACGGAGGGAATTTCTACTTTGCGCAGGAGTTGGGCCAGGGGCTAGATGACAACTTGCCAAGGATGTTGTACCTTGGGAGTAAGTTTTGAACATGATGACCTGTGAAATCTCTTCCAAATCTAGAATGCTGATTCTCACCTGATCTTTGCACAGAGGAGAGGGGTAATATTAGCAAGCAGAGCCAGCAGTTAGGTAGTGCTTTCAGATTTGCAAAGCATGTCATAAGTGTCATCTCGTCTGATCCTCACAACCACCGTGTGAAGTAGGTGCCTTCATTGTCTCTATTTTACAGATGAGGAAACTGAGGCTAGGACAAAGTGAGTGACTTCCTCAGGGTCACACATCAGGTAAGTGTCTAAGGCGGGATTCCTGACTCCAAGTTCCACAGTTTATCCTTGTACCACTTAGCTACCTAGGGAGGGACTACTAGATAAAACACCAAATCAGTGAGGTTTGGATTGCCTGTCCTCTCACCTCCCTTTCTGTGATCCTCTTCTATTTCCTGCATCTTCTCTATCTTAGCCCCATGGCATACAATCTATGCAACCATGATGATATGAGGGAAAGACCTCTGGACTTGGGTCAGAAAGCCTGGCTTCAAATCCTGAGCAAGGTCACTTCATTTTCCTGGTCCTATTTCCTCATCTGAAAACAAGAGAGTTAGACTAGAATACCTTTAAGATCCATTCCAGGCTTTAAGTCCTAGAATCCTGTGATCATTTATCTATCCAACTCCTCCATTTCTTGAGTGCTCCAGACAGAGGAGGATGAAGAAAGTAGAGAGGCCTTCTCTCTACCTAGGGTCCTAAAAATGGAAGCAAGCTGGCCTTTTGACCTTTGTTCATTGGCTGGCTGGCTGGCTTCTCAGCACCACAAATACTATATAATATAATAAGAAGACTGGAAAGACAGGAAGGGGCAAGGTCGTGAAGGACTCTTAAGTGCCAAACAGAACATTTGATGTTTGATCTTAGAAATAATAGAGAGCAACTCTAGTATATTGAGGAGGGAGGCAATGGGATCAGACCTGCGCTTTAAGGAAACCACTTTAGTAGGTGAGTGGAGAATGGATTGGAGGGAGGAGAGACTTGACAAAGGGAGACTGATTGGAAGGTGATTGGACTTGAGGTAGTGAGGGCCTGCACCAAAGTGATAAGAAAGGAATGTTTATCAGGAAAATGATAGATGTTGGAGAAGATGTGGGAAAATTGGAACACTAATGCATTGTTGGTGGAGTTGTGAAATGATCTAACCATTATGGAGAGCAATTTGAAACTATGCCCAAAGGGCTATAAAAATGTGCATACCCTTTGACCCAGCAAGAGCACTTCTAGGGCTATATCCCAAAGAGATCATACAAATGGGAAAAGGACCCACATGTACAAAAATATTTATAGCAGCTCTTTTTGTGGTGGCAAAGAATTGGAAATTGAGAGGATGCCCATCTGTTGCGGAATGGCTGAACAAGTTGCAGTATATGAATGTAATGGAATACTATTGTGCTATAAGACATGATTTGCAAGCTGACTTCAGAAACACCTGAAAAGACTTGTATGGTCTGATGCTGAGTGAAGTGAGCAGAACCAGGAGAACATTGTATACAGTAACCATCACATTGTGCGATGACTCATATGTTGATAGAATTAGCCCTTCTCAGCAATGCAAGGATCTCAGACATCTCCAAAGGTCTCATGCTGAAAAATGCTATCCACATCCAAAGAAGAACTATGGAGTTTGAATGCAGATCGAAGCATACTATTTGCTATTTTTTCCTTTTGTTGTGTTTTGTTTCCTCTTTCTGGTGTTTCTTCCTATTGGTTCTAATTCTTACTTAACATCACTAACATGAAAATATGTTTAGTAGAAATGTATATGTATAGCCTATATCAGATTGTGCATCATCTTGGGGAAAGAGATGGGGAGAGAAGGGGAGAAAAATTGAAAACTCAAAAGCTTATGGAAGTGATTGTTGACAAATCAAAATAAATTAATTATTTTTAAAAAAGAAAGGAATGTTTATGAGAGATGTCCTGAAGGTGGAAATAAGAGTACTTGCCAATAGTTTGGGTGTGGAGTGATTATGAGAGAGAGGTTGAGGATAATACCAAGGTTGTAAGCATAAGGGACTAGAAGGATGAAGGCGTCCTTGACTGAAATAGGGAAGTTTGGAAAGGGGTGGGGTCTGACAGTAAAGGTAATGAATTCTGTTTTGGATACAGTGAGTCAAATGCCTATGGGACCTGCATTTCAAGATATCCAAGGGGCAGTTGGTGATGTGAGGCGCAGGAGAAAGATTAGGGCTGCGATGTACAGATCTGAAAGAGCCTTGTCTAAAGATGGTCATTGAGAAGACAGCACATAGAGAGGAGTGTGTGTGCATGTGTGGGGAGGGTGGGCAACTGGGAGGCAAAGTATCAAGGGAAATGAAGGTTCATCCTTACCTTGGGGGTAAACATATATGCTAGGCCATTGACAGCTCCATGCAGAGTGAGACCCCGAACCAAATAGATGATGAGAACACAGTAAGGCAGGGATGCCGTTACATAGACCACCTAAGGGAGCCAGAAGATCCAGGTTAGCCTCTTAAAGACGGGAGTCTTGCTCACCTCTGTGTTGCCAGCCCCCAACCCTTTAGCTGTTAGAGAAGAAAGGGGAAACAAAGCCTAGCTATGCTTCTGGTGAAGCCCTACGTGACCACCTACGAGTTGCCTATCGAGTGAATTTTGATCAGTAGAGGTCTATTTCCCCATGGACTTAGATTTTCATTGCAGGCCTATTTTATGTTCTGCTTTTGGTGATTTTTGTTTAGTAGTGGCTCTAATATGCATGGTATAGTGGATAGGACACTGAACTTGGAGTTAGGAAGACCTGAGTTCAAATTCTACCTCAGACACTTACTAGCTGAGTGATGCTGGGCAAGTCACTTAACTACTCTGTTCCTCATTTTCCCCATTAAATTTATGACCCTATGAGAAACACTGTTTCTCACTTCTAAGGGAAGCTCTATTATTTACAAGAATCTTTTTGTAATGTTAACAGCTGTAACATTCTAACAAACGCAATAATAAATAAATGATTCTTTTGTAATATTAATAATAGTAACATTGTAAAAATATAACAAACATAATAATTTGTAAAGTGGGGAATCCTTTGGGCCTGTTAACAATGGCCAAGAATTTATATGGACCCTTGGGTTTTCTTATCTGAGGTTTTCTCTAAGTAGGGTATCCCCATAATAATGTGAAAAATAAGGTATGTAATGGCATGAGTTTGACCATAACTCTAAACTACTACTATTCCTGCTGGTGCTGCCGCTGCTGCTGCTGCTACTGCTACTATTACTAGTGATTCTGCAGTGGAAATCTAGCCTGACTAGTCTAATAGAATTCTTCAAGGTAAAGGAGTTGCTACAGGATTGGAGGAAGTGTTTTGTCAGGTAAACTGGTTTCGGTCTAAGAAACAGTTGCTATGGATCAATTTTAGGCACTTCTGTAGAGAAAAGGCAGCACCTTATCTAGGCTAATATTGAGATGATTCTTATTTAATTAACAATGATATGAAAGACAATAGAACTACAAAAAACTGAAGTTTATAGATGACCCTACATAGGTCCATATGGAATGCCATATGACCCTTTGAGGTAAGTAATACAGGTATTATCCTCTCCATTTTACAGATGAAGAAACTGAGGCTTAAATAGGTTAAATGACTTGCCCATAGTCACACACACCTAGTAAATATCAGAGGCAGAATGTGAACTCAGGACTTCTTCTTATGCAGCCCTTCTGGTTCCAAAGCCTTTATTTATTATGCCACAGCTAACTCACATAAGGTCCCAAAACAGATTGTTTATTTATTTATTTATTTTTAATTAATTCATTTTGAATTATCAACAATCACTTCCATAAACTTTTGAGTTTTAAATTTTTCTCCCCTCAAAACAGATTGTTAAAGGAAGTGATTGATATTTCTGGGGTTACTTCACAGACAGCAATCATGCCATCTCATAAAATTCCCTTTCTGCCATTATAGACGCAAAATAACAGATTGGCTAGATCACCAGTCTGCCCCAAAATATGAAAAATCTTAGGTTCTTTCATTGCATGTTGTGTGATGAGAAGGAGGAATTTAGGACTTGGGGTTTTTAACTGAACCTCCTTCTTCTCAGACACTTCTTGTCTGCCTTCCTGAACTAGTCAAGGGACCTGGGTCAAAGGTTCAATTCCACAAAGTCCACACCCTTGTGATCTGTCACCTCTGATTGCCTGGTGCCAGCTCACCCCTTGGACTTTTCTGAAGCTGGTCAGAGAGATGAGTGTTGCCAATCTAGAGTTGGAAGGGCCTTCAGAGGGCATCTAGTTCAAATTACTCATTTTACAGATGAAGAAGCTGAGGCTTAAAGAGGTTGGTTGACTTTCCCATGGTCACACAGGTTGTGTGTGCCAGAGAAGGGATTCGAACCCATGCCCTTCCACTCTTTTCATTGCTGGATCATAATCCCTGCTTTTAAGCTCAAATGGACCCATCTGAACCTTCATTCCAGTATCATGTTGTAGCTAACACAGACCTTACCTTGCCGGTTGACTCTGTCCCTCTCAGAATGCACAGATACACCACCAGCCATGCTAAGATGAGACACAAGGCCTGTTCCCACTGGATGACCCCATTCTCCTGAATGGAGGGTGAGATATTGAGGGTTTTCCGGTACCAAAAGTACTGAGTTGATGAGGCTCGATCACATTCTTCATCATAACCCATGAGGTTACTGTTCAATGAGCAGCTGGACCATGGCAAGGGATCCTTTGGGATCAAAACAGTTGTTATGCAAAGCATGAGGTAGTAGAAGAAAGAAGGACAGATGCAGGAAATCGAAGTGGGCATGAAGAGCAGATAGGAAGAGAATAAGCATTTATACAGCACCTACTATGTGTCAGGCACTGTGCTAAGTGCTTTGCAAATATTATCTAACTTAATCCTCACAACAATCCTGAGAGGTAGGTGCTATTATTATCTCTATTTTGCAGTTGAGGGCACTGAGGCAAACAGGTTAAGTGATTTCTCAGGATCATACAGCTTGTAAATATCTGAAGTCACATTTGAACTCAGGTCTTCATGACTCCAAGCCCTGTGCTCTATCCACTGCACCACCTAGCTGCCTCAGAGACAGGGCTGAGACCAAGAGGGAAACTCAGAAGGAAAAATAACAAGGAGCTAGGGAATCTGCCAAGAGGGCAAAGAATGAAGACCATGCTTGGGAGTAGAGGCAGATCAAAGGACAAATCCAACCAAACTCAGAAAGAAAAAGAGGACAGGAATGGACCAATGGAGGAGAAGTAGCAAAGTATTCTGGCAGGAGAGAGATAAAGGCAGCATGTCAACCAGTGATGAGAGGACCAGACAAAAATACCCAACTACATAGAGAGACGAAGGAGAATACAGGGGAGAGAACAGGGTCTACTGCCAGCACAGGGCAGGTGAATCCCCTGCAGCTAATTTTATCTGTAAAAAAGTAATGGGGATTAGATTTTTGGACCGACTCAGGATATAGTGGACTTGAGAATGTTGGTACTAAGGGCTGTGGGTCACTGCTTCCCCAAGACAAATACTTGAACATAGCTGCCGTTTCAACAATTTCCCTTCATCCAAATATACCTTATTCATCTTCCAGAGGGTAGGGTTCAGAACTTGTTTGTGCATGACCCAGCATAGCTTGAAATCATAAGGGAAAATACACTGGCAGGAAAGGCTTTCTACAGACATAGACTAATGTGCTTTTTTTTTTTAAACAATTGGAAGGGACCTGAGAGAGATGATGTTAATGCATATGAGAAAACTGAGACCTGGAGAGGTTCATTGACTTGTCTGAGATTATACATTTTGTTACTAGAAGAGATTGGTGTTCTTTTTTTCTTTTTCTTGTTAAAAATATGTTTATTAAAGCAGCCAGGTTGGCACATTGGATGGAGTGCTGCACCCAGAGGCAGGACAACATGAGTTTAAATTTTGTCTCAGATACTCCCAGCTGAGTGATTCTGGGCAAGCTACTTAATTTCTCTCACCCTCAGTATTCTCATCTGAAAAACAGAGATAATAATAGCACCTACCTCACAGAGTAATTGTGAGAATCAAATGAGATAACACATATATAGTGTTTTGCAAATTCTAAGCCCTATAGAAATACTGGCCCCAGACATTTACTAGCTGTGTGACCCTGGGCAAGTCAGTTCACTCTGTTTGCCTTAGTTTCCTCATCTATAAAAATGAGCTAGAGAAGGAAATGGCAAACCACTCCAGTATCTTTGCCAAGAAAACCACTAATAGGGTCATGAAGAATCTGACATGACTGAAATGACTGAACAACAACAAGCTGTTAGTTGTTATTGCCTCCTTTTGTTTTAACCTCAGGGATTTCTGAACATATTGACATCCATTCCCCTACTCCTACTTTCTAGAAGGAAAGAAAAAGAAAGGAAGGAAGGAAGGAAGGAAGGAAGGAAAGAAAGAGAAGAGGGAAGGAAGGAAGGAAGAAAAAGAAAGGAAGGAAGGAAGGAAGAAAAAGAAAGAGAAAGGAAGGAAGAGAGAGAAGGATAGAAAGAAAGAGAGGAAAAGGAAGAAAAAAGCAATACACCCAGGACAGAGTGTGCCCCTGTCATTCTGCCTCTCGGTAGTAAGGTGTGTCTCATCATCTGATCTCTAGGACTATCATTGGGTTTTCGTTTCCTTGATATTTGGTTTCCTAGTGGGGTCATTACATTTATATTGTTGTAGTCACTGCATACTGCATAACTGTTGTTAGGGCTCTGCTCAGTGCACTCTGCCTCAGGTCCAACAGATGTTATGTTTCTCTGAATCATTCCTTATCTTCAAATCTTAATAATAATATTCTATTGCATTCATATGCCAAAGTCTTTTTCATTCTCCATTTGATGGGGACACATTTCATTTCCATTTTTTTGCTAATGCAAAGAGCAAGGATATGAATATCTTAGTACACCTGTCTTCGACTTCTTCATGATATATACACACAGAGTAAGACTACTAGATCAAAAGGCTCAAACACTGACTAATCACTTTGCTTAAATAATTCCAAATTGATATCCAAAATAGTTGGACCAATTCACAGATCGACTACTAGTTAATTGATGTACCTGTCTCCCCACAGCACATACAATATTTATTCTTCCTGGATTTGGGGGAGGAGTCATTTTCATCTATTTTCAGAGTGTAGTAGGAAATCTCAGAGTTTTAATTTGTGTTTCTTTTACTTTTAATGATTTGGAGCAGATTTTCCAAATAGCTTTTTAAGTTTATAATTACACTTTTGAAAACTTTGCTTATATCTAGGGATGTGCTGTTTAACAACTGGTTTAATAACCAGTTCTCTGAAAAAAAAAACTTCATTATTAACATTTTCTCCATCACTTTCTTACATCTAGACAATCAACAAAAAAAAAAAATCACATGCTGATTTATTGAGTTTCCAAGGTGTAATGCTCATAGTGAAAATTTAGTAATTGTCTCTTCCAAGCCTGTATGAGCTGTCTGTCACACACCCCTACTTATATACACTGTCTATTCATCCATTGGAAATGGCTCTTATGATGTCATATATTTCTATTAATTCCTTACATATCTTAGATATCCGAATTTATTAATATTTGACGAAAATATTTTTCCCACTTGACAGTTTCTCTTTTTACTCTGTTCATTGATTTTGTTTGTGCAACAGTTTTTAAATTTGTTGTAATCAAAATTACCTATTTTCTTTCCTTGATAATCTTTTCTTTCTTTTATTTCCTTCATCATTTGCTTAGCTAAGAATTCTCTCTCAGCCACAGTTGGAAAAGGTACCTCCTTCTAATTTCCTCTCTCTCTAGGTGGTTGTTGTTGTTTTTAATGATGTAACCTGTAATAAAGTCTCATATTATTTTTTAGGTTATTTTGATGTATGGTGTAAGATGCTGGTCTAATCTAATGCCTGCAAATTGCTGACCAGTTTTCACAGCAGTTCTTGTCAAGTAGGAAATCTTTCCCTCTGTAATTTATGTTCTTGGGTTTTTCAAATACTGGGTAGCTGTTTTTGATTGTTTGTTTCTTGGTTATTCGGTATGTTCTCCTAATCAACTTTTCTGTTGTTGATTTTGTTATTGTTGTTTTAATGGAATACCAAATAGTTAATATGACTGCTGTTTTATAATATAGTTTGATGTCTGGTAATGATATGCCTTCTTCATTACTGCTTTGAAATTTTTTTCCTTGAGATTTTAGACCTTTTCTTCTTTCAACTGAATTGTTATTATTTTGTCTAATTCTAAAAATGTACCTTTGGTAATTTGATTGGTATAGAAATATATCTCGAAGTTAATTTAGGTAGTCTCATGATTTTTATTATATTAGCACATGAGCAAAAAACATTTGTAATTATTTGTCTTTCCTCACTTATTTTTTCTTGCATTTTATTTTTTAAATTCTGACCTTAACACCAAGCAAAATGAAAATTTCCATATATGAAATAAAACAAAAGAGGGGAAATTCCTTCAAAATACATGATAATAATAAATATATTATATGTTATAAATGTATAATAATAAAATAAATATATACTTAAAAAACTGTCCTACTTATTTTTTTTAATTCTTTCTGGCCCTCATTCTGTTCTCTCTTGTGAATTTTTTTTTAATGCTTTAATATATAACCTGCTTTTCTTTTTTTTTTAACCTATCTCTCCCTTCCCCCTCCTCCCCCCTCCACTAAATTGAAAAAGAAAAAAGAAAAGATAAACAAAACTCCTATAGTAAATATATGTAGTTAAGCAAAACAAATTCACACATTATCCAAGTACAAAAATCTAAGTCTTATTCTCTTCCTTTATTTCTATAAAGAATGGTTTATAATTGTATTTATATCTTACAAGTGTCTCAGTAGATTAACTCATGTATTTCATGCATTTTCTCTTGGTAGGACTATAGAAAGGCAGTGTGGAATAGAACATAGAGAGTCCACCTTAAAGCCAGGAAGATCTGAGCTTGAGTCCTCCCCCCTCCCCAACCCCTGTCCCACATACATCCATACTGGCTGGGTGACCCTGGGAATGTTACTGGACTTTTCAGTGCCTGACACAACTCTCCAACACTTCAAGTTGTAGAAAAGGTGCTGAATTGTATTGGTCAAAGGAGTTTGCTTAGTTGGAAGTTCCCTATATTAGTGAAAACATAGGGCCATTCCAGGGGTGTGCTGGTAAATGTTTAACTGACTCTCCATTTAAAAATGTGTGCTTGACACACTTTCAAATTTAATCTGCATTATTAACATTTTTCAATCACTTTCTTAAGTATAAACAATCAACAAAAGAATAAAGCAAGCCCTGCCAATTTCCAAGGTGTAAATGCTCACACTGAAAATTTAGCAATTAGTTTTCTCTAACCATGTGAACATATGAAGCACCCAGGTGGCACAGTGGATAGAGCTTGGGCCTGGGGTCAGGAAGTTGGAAGATCAAATCTGGCCTCAGATGCTTAATGGTGTGTGACTGTAGACAAGTCACTTAACCCTGTTTGCTTCAGTTTCCTCATTTGCAAAATGAGCTGGCAATGGCAAACCACTCCAGTATCTTTGTCAAGAAAACCCCAAATAGGGTCATGAAGAGTCAGATATGACTGAAAACACCACCACAACAAAACCGTATGAACTGGCTCTAGCTTCTCTGGTTCATTTCCTATCCCTATACATATTTTAATGAGATTTACCTTCTCATCGGTTCTTCTTGTTTTTTGAGATGTAGATAATTTCTGTGAATTTAT